ATCAATAAATTGTATAATATTTGTTTATTTGCAGAAAGTCATTTAGCGATTTTTTTCTATGTATGATTTTAGTTGGTTTTTTGAATAAGTGCACATACAGTATGTGTATATGCAGGCGTATAATGTCTACATATGATGACTGCAGGGACTCGTTTTCCTACATGTTTATAAAATGACCTGGAACTTGTTTTGTTTGGAAGTTGCTGGGGTTGGGTTATTTTAGTAAGAAATTGTTTTCAATGGACCATTCATTAGGAAATTAATGTATGTTATTTAGAATGGGGGACTGTACTTTACGGGGGGGCGGGGGTTACAGAAGTGTCAGCTGTGTAGGCAATGGCAATGATGAGTATTGTAAAGGAGGGATTTGAAGGTTATGTGGATTAATAATATATATATAACAAGTGGAAGAGGAAAAAAACATTGCAGATTGTAGGTTTGGGTTTTCCTTGGTTATAATAATTATGATGAATTATTGTTATGTTATCTTGTGTAATCTTACTTATCCATGTTACATGGATGTATTATGTATATTGACAATGGGGATTTATAATTTTTGAGTAAGAACTGATAATGTGTTCTCTTTAATCTATTTAATGTATTGTGTTGTTTTAAATAAAAATATAAAAAAAAAATTCTGGCTATGTACACATTTTAAAGAACCCCAAGATTACAACATGAAAAAGTTTTATCCAAAATGGTCTATTATGATTATAGTAAACGTTACCAACACTAAAACTCATTATAACATCTATCTCGCACGTATATAATTAACAAAAACGTGACCACACATTCCACAAGACTTCATTTTAGAGTAATTTCAAGATCTCAGTGCCACCACAACGCCACAAACCAAACACACACAGGACGTACGGAACCATTCATTAATACTTTTACTCGTCACTCCCTAAAACCGCGCTTACCCTAAAGTCTTCTAACATACTGTTTGGTGTGCTACCACGGGGGGAGTCCAGCCCCCGTTGACTTACCCCACCCGCAGTTGAGCAACCATTTGAACAGGTAGGTACATCGATACTTTGCCGGAAACTATTATCCCAACCCTTTTCTTCCAGATTACGAGTTTATTTCTGCAATACGTTCTGTAGATACTGCCGCAATTGCCCTGATCCTACATGATCCCCCGGTTTCCCGCATCCCCACGAATATAGAGGAAATCTGCCACCCGTACAATTATTGCTCTTCGTACCTCACTTGATACTCCGCTAACTTCCAATGTTAAGGCCCGTAATAAGGTGGATTTTGAAATACTTCCCCCATAAGTAAATCTAAAACCCGACCCAACACGATACAAAATCCTTTGTCCAAGGTTTATCCACAAAAGTAGACTGCTGAAAAGCTGTTTCTCTTCAAGACCGCAACGAAGCAATCCGCCTCCCTTACCAAACCCATCTATTTAAGGAACGGATTTTGATGCTAAAATCCCATGACAACATTTCTGTACACCAATTCTCGAACTCCTTGGTGCACACTCTACTTAAGTTTACATAATCCATTCCATATTTCCCCCCAATTATACAGCGGAAAAAAATACAGACAATCTGTACAATTTCCCCACGAAAAACATATTGCTGACCATTTGCCAACATGGATCCGTTGCGCATTTCTCAACTTTAATAAACAAAACGCAGAGCCTGTCCTCACACTCGAATTAAATCCCCTGCGCCACCACATTTACGCATTTCGATCATTACCCGCACCCACCCGGATTGCCTTCTCACCGCCCGCCTACGGAACCGCTGCTTTACATAGAGGGCCTACACCCGTGGCCCCCAAAGCCAAGAGACCTAAACCCCAGGCGAACATGGGTCATGCACCCTCCGACTTAACCAAGCCCTTCCCGAAACCCCAAACATACGTAAGACCATCTCTGCATATCCCTTAATATCCGTTAATCTTTAACGGGTACACCTCTCCCACACCCCATACTTTACTATAAACAATATTATAAACCCTACTTACACATTATCAACTATACCTCCCATATCTAAACCCTAATACTCATAACCTCCAATTAAAACCCCAAAACATCTATACCCAACTTACACACACCAATCAATAAACTAATCCCAAAATACATAATCACCCTCCATCCCCCACCCAAACTCCCCCCACCCCCACAATACCCCCACCCACAACTCAAAATCCAAATAACCTCCCCTATCAATCCCCCCCCCCCCCACCACCCCCGTTTGTTTTACACACATTTAACAACACATTTTAAATCTAAAAAAGGCCCCGGATCTGCAATCCTCTCCCCTTTTAACAGAATTGTGGTATCATCTACGTACCCGACACTCGGCGATTGCATGGTCACTGCTCAGCGTTCCACGCCTCAAACCCACCATCCACCAGCTCACTAATAATGGGTTTTGATTCAAGCAAAAAGCAGCTGGGAGTGGGGGCACCCGTGACTACTCAAAAACCCTTTCCATAAGGACCGGCTGACCCAATTACCGTTTTACCTGTACTCGTGACCATAGCCGTGGCTTACAATGTTCCACCATCTTGCATACCTCTCCAAAAAACCCTGGCTTCAATAAAATAAGCCTCAATAAAATCCCTATTCAACACAGTCATAAGCATTTTGCCAGTCAAGCCTGAGAAACACCCCCCCTGAACATTCTCCAAAAAACTCCCTAATAAGTTACATGGTCCGTCCCTCAAGCTTCCTCCTGGTATGCCTTGCTGTCCCTCGTGAATACCCGACCCCATAACCTTCATCATCTCTGTTTCCTAAAACCTTTTGCATAGAATTTATAGTCAGAGCACATAAGAGATATGCTCTATAGAACTCAGACCCCTCCCCCCTCCCTTTTTGGGCACCAACAATACATACCCATGTACTTTGTAGGACATTTACCTAACCTCCCTCCATGAGCATGCATTTAATACATCAACCACAACAGTTGCTTAATACTTCCCCAATGCGCCCTATAAAGATTCATTCGAAATGCCATCTATACCTGGTGCCTTTCCTTTACTCATACTAAAAATCGCATCCTCTACCTCTCCACTCGATTTATTCTAGTACCGTTCTATCCCTGTCACCTTGTACCTTTTATGAAATCCCTACCTCACCAGGCGCCCTCAGGGACCACCCTACTACCCTCGTAGCTTTTCCCCAAACCATAGCATCAGCATAAAAACTAATGCTGCGTGGTGAGGAGTACTTTACCCGGCAGGTAAACCACCCAAAACGTGCATACTTCCAATTGCAAGAGGGGACGTCGCCTGTTGCCTGACACTAAATTTGCGCAAGAACAAACCCGAAGGTTTGTCACCCCCATGCACTTCTTTCCATACTGCTATGACTCTAACCGCATTGTAACGTTCATTGTGAATTCTGCATGTCGACTACGAAGAAGATGTTCATGTCGTCCATACCTATACTACTCCGCCCCCCCCTAGTAATCATTTAGCTGCCACTCAGATAGTTATGAAAGCCCATACCTCCACCTCGCCTCTCTTCTCCCGCTTCGTATATAACCGCCATTCCAGGTTTGGCATTGCGGTTTCACCATTCAACAAAAACATTCACCCTGCCCGTCGCGTTTCCCAAATATTCTTCCACCGTCCTGAAAGGCTGACTCATATCCCCCCTCCCAATCCTATAGATACATAACCGCCACATTCAGTTTCCAATAACCCTGGATTAAACCCTGATCATTCCATCCAGTTCAAAGTCCGCTAGCACTGCACGGTTGATCTGAAAAACCCCAATCAAAGGTCCTGTACCGGGCCCAACTCTAATCCCTTGTGTTACATAAAGTCTATCCTGACGGGACGCTTAGCCCCTACGAAGGAACGGATGCTCCACCCCACACCACACCACGCAACACCGCTCATAAACCCTGCTTCCCCAGCAGATTCCGTAAGACAGGTAAAATGCACCCCGCCCCCCGCGGGCCTAACATCGCCGTGGCGGATAACGCAAATTCCAATCCCCACCCATGACGGTGGCCTATGAAAGGCAAACCCCGTTAGTGTAAAAACGTTAAGCCTCCCTTACAAATTCTACTTTAAATTTAGTGTTGCTTTTCCGCTGGCATGGTAAACGCCAATAAAAAATACCCCTACTCACACAGTACCCATCTACCTCACCACCCTCCAACCTCCCCTCCTCCCATCTTAAGACCCACAAAAACGCCAAGGGCTGGAATTCCTTCACCGCTATAGGTACCCACCCTTTAATTTTAAAGAACTGCTACAACATAATTCGGTAGCCTTTTAACGTAAACTCTCGCCCAAACTTATAATTGTGTTCTGTATGAAAATACGTCACAGCATATCTGCGCAAGAACCATCTAATCAACAAAACACTTAAAACTCTGCCGACCAGACCATTTACAGTGATGGTACACACAACTTGAATTCACAAAAGGAGGTTATTCCTCTATGCTTGTGGGTCTTTCCCGTTCTACATGCTACATTACACTGACCTTCTTGACCTTTGGACTTCCCAAGGCCCCCTCACCCCCCGTGCCCTACCCACAGGCTGGGCGCTTGCCCCAACCCGTTGCAGGAGGCGCCTCCGCACTTTCGACCATAATTTCTTTCCCTGACGCTGTACCGGTGTGCAGGACCTAGTCCATATCCGACACTCTGCCGTCCAGTTTGCGGGGAACCAACTTCCACACACATCGACTCCCAGACGAAGCTCTGGTGAACTTCCCCACCACCTCATGCATCCGGTGTCATTGTAGGCAAGTCCAGGTCTCCCGTCTTTGGCGAATCATCCCTTCCACTTCTTGACTCTCCGGTGATGTGTGAAACGTCTGGGCTATGCTCTGCCCATCCAGGGAGATCGTTTAGCACGTTCTCAGCAACTTTCCTGTGACAAACCCACAGGCTCGTAGGCCCCACAGGTGGCGTGGGCACGGTTCTGTAGTGTCCACCGAAAGAGGTGGCGCACGCCCATAGACCGCATCTACTCTTGTTGTACTTCCTCACTCCAAAGCTTAGGTCCTTGGTTCAGCGCGATGGGACCAGTCTACAGGTCAAAGGCCACCCTCGGGTTCTTAGGACCACAGGAGAAGGTTCCGGTTACGTTCACCAGGGCGTCTGGAGCCACTGTGCAGCCATATGGTCAATACGATATTGCATATACTTGCATGTCTTACGTTGGCCCGAATAGTGAACAAAAACTTGGGTACTGTAGTGCTCTAGATAAACGTAAGATGGAATCGGCTGTTTTAATGTCTTTTCTTTAGGGTGCAGGAGCCTTCCGGGAGCCCTCTCGTATGGGCCCTCCCTCCATCTCCTTGTCGCGTGCCATGTACCGTGCGTATTTGCCAAAAAATTTCCGATAATTACTATCCGCCTCGAAAGGCCACGTTCCTTACTTTGACCAGGTGACGTAATGTGGGGGGAGGACGTCATGCAGACCATACTCTACGCGCTGATTCACGCCATTTTCCTCTCTTGTGAAAAGCGGCACAATCTTGGAGTAAAAGCGGCATTTGCGAATTTACAAAAAACCTCGAATACCATGAGTGACACACCATATAATTCCTCAGTGGGATGCCATAGACGTCGCGAATGATGGTAGCAAACAAGACATTGCAACGTTGAACAATGAGAGAGCCTCGAATAAAATTCCACACAGACCGTGCTTTTAATCTTCTCCTTGCGATCCGCCATCTTGCGTACTGTAGTACAGGTTCGCCACCAGGTGTAAGCAAAGTGCAGGCTCAGAAAGCCGTCCTTCTCAGCCGGCAGGGTGAGAGACGAAATGACCTCCCTAACTTCCATTTACCTGTACACACCACTCCCACACCTTGTATACAATGTCTCTGCCCAACGCACCACCTCTCCCAAAACCCTGCCTCCTTAATTTGTACCACAATACCTCACGTTCTTCACTTATCATACGCCGTGCCATATACGATAAAGACACCACTCCTCGCTCACTCCCGGACCCTTCCACAAAATAAATGTTCTTTCAATAATACTATGCACGTCATAATCGACCTCCAGGCACACCATATTGTCCTTGGGGGAAAAACCACTCTAATCCACCAACACTTCATCTTTTTCTAAAAATTTTGCAAAAAAAATCTTACATAATCTGCACACAGCAATGATATATTATCCTAAAAGTCCCGACTCCGTGTCTTGTCTCTTACCTTTTGGCACTAAACACAACCGCAGTTCCTTGCAACCTGCCCATCCTCCCCCTCCCTTTTCTAGTATTCATTGTTCTACTAAGGAAGGACTTCAACACATCAATGGCTACATAATACTCGACAGGGCAAGCCATCCGACCCTGGAGCCTTATCTCGTGCCATCCCTCCAAAGCCCTCCACACCTCCCCTTCTTCATTTTCCCCCCATCGCCATGCGATCACTGCCACTTAGCACACAAGATACATTCTCCCCCAACCTCCCAAAAGCCTCCACATCCACCCCTACACTCAGCAAATTTTTGCCAAACCACCTATCCACGTAATCACTCATTGCCTCCGTTGTTCTTAACTCATGTCCCGCCCTATATCCACCTAAGTCCTCATGTACCACCAGCCTATCAATTTCCATAGCCATACGTCGCTGCCTCTGTCCCCGTAACACACAGGCCGATGGGCGGTCACCCCACACCGCCTCTTCAATTCCACCCTGCACTCTCACCGCATCAAATCTGTCATTCTTCAAATCTCGAATCCTCCCTTTTAACAACTCGATTTCCTCCATGGGATACTGCCCTGCCTGCACGCCCCTCTCATAACAACTTTGCAACCTACCCTCGAAATACTGCTGCAACCCGTATGTCATCCAACCCTGGTACTTTTCCCATTACACATAAAACCGCCGGATCCTCTCCTTAGCTACCCCATCCCTCCACCCCAGCAAGTCACCCACATCCCTACCCTCTCCCCACAAATTCTCCCACATTGTCCTAAAATCTAACCCCGCCTCCTCCACCCCAAGAAGTCTCACATTTAACTTCCAATACCCTGGATACCTCTTAGGTAAGCTGGCCCAAGTCAAGTCCGTATAAACAGCTCTATGATCCATGTATACAGCATCCACCGTACGCACACACATCACCCACACACTTCTCGTCACATATAACCTATCGAGCCTGGCCTCGTATCCCTGTCTATGAAACGTATGCTCAACCATTAGGTCCCCACCTCCAATAACATCCCTTAACCCCACGCCCAGCAAAAGATCCCTTAGGCTAACCAAAAAACACCCTGGCCCCCCCGTGGCTCCACATCCTTTCTACGTACTATACAATTCCAATCACCGCCCACGATTGTTACCGAGGGAAGAGATCTCAAATAATAAACCAAAACATCACGCACAAATTCATTCTTCACCCATACATCACGCTCCGCCAGCGCATAAACACAAACCACTGCCAGTCGCTCACCTCTCCACCATCCATCTACCCGGAGTACCCTACCCTCCTCCCCTCCCTCATATCTAATTACAACAAACGGGCTTGTCTCCCGAATCAGAATCCCAACCCCACCTTTCAAACGGTCCGAATATGCCACAAACACACGATATCCATCCACATTCAAATCCCGACCCGCCTTAAAGTTATGCTCCTGCATGAATACAATATCTATGGCATGACGCCTCAAAAACCCCTGGAGCCACAAACGCTTCACATTCACACACAACCCATTTACATTCACAGTCATACACCTGAAACCTTCTTGAAGGGTTTTACACGCTGCCCTGTAACTCCTTTCATAGACACGTCACCAGCCTTCCTACTTTTCCCACCATGCTCACCACAGTGAGCTCTATTCCCTCCCCGGTCGAACACCTGACCGGACACACCTGTGGCGCCTCCACTCATCACATCAGCCCACGGTTTCTTCCCCGGTCTCTGCGCCGGGATCAAGACATCATCGGAATCAGAGTGCGTTGCCGCCCTCTTCCGCTGAACACTCTCTGCATCCATGGTCTGGTCGGGGAATGCCTCACAATGCACCTCCGCCGCCACCTCGACCACGGTCACCATTCCCGTAGAAGTGGCACCTGCAGTCAGCTGGCTGTCTCTCCTCTCGTCCTCACTCTCCTCTGGTCCTTCCACCGATTGTACATCATCCCCGGCTCTCTTTGTCTCCAAAAACCTTTCCGTCAACTACTCTAAAGCCACATCCTCTGCTCGTTCTCCTCCACTCAGCTTGGTTCCCCTTCCACCAAAGCGGAGACTGTAGATCTACAGGCATTGATGGGCTCGACCCCACCGTCGGAAATCTCTCTCCACCTCTCGCTCCAAGACGAACTATGGCCTTTACAGGCGTCCGCTGGCAGGCCCGCCTTCGGGTCAGGCCCTCGCTCAGTCCTTCTGTCTGCATCCTGTCGTCGCTGCTGCCTCTCACACTGTGCTGCCATATGGTCATAAGCGCCACATAGCCTGCAAGTCTTGCGCTGCCCTGCATAATACACCATCACTTGCGTCCGGAAGTCGTCCAGGATGACAAACGACGGGATGGGATGCCTCAGCGTCATCTTTAGGTTGAACGTACCCTCCGGCCAGCCGGCGTACGCCCCATCCACACAGGTACCTGCCGTTACCAGATGCACAGTACCGTAACGTTCAAAAACGTTCCGTATATCTGCCTCATCAGCTTCGAAAGACACGTTACGTACCTTCACCCAAGTGTAGTTCGCGACACATCAATTAAACGAACTCGTATTGCCGAGTTTACGTCCACACAGCCATCTTGATACTGCTCCACCAGGCGCTCATACACTGCCGTCGATCGTAGCTTAATGAATATTCGGTAAGCCCCGTTGAGCGATACTCCATACAAATCTTGATCAGCAATGCCGTATGTGTCGCGAATAATCAAAGGTAGAAGCATCTGTGCGGACTGAGGCGTAACTACACCCCGCACTAAATCAAAGCACACAGTGTTGACTCGCCTTCTGATAGTCTGCGCCATCTTGTGAAAATCAATCTGCGCAGGAAGGGGAGATGGATCTTCAACTTCCTAACAAATCGAACACAAAGAGTAGTGGTCAACAGAGTTAAATCGGAGGCTGCCATAGTGAAGAGCTCTGTTCCACAAGGCCACAGTACTCGCCCCCAATCTTATTTCCTTATCCTCTATCAGGAAATAAACAAGATATACACCCACAGCACCGTATCTACACTTGCGGATGATACTAGGATCTGCCCATGAGGCTGTCTCTGCTGAGGACGCGGTTAACCTCCAAGAAGATATAAACAAAGTTTTCCCGTGGGCAACGGTAACAATATGATGTTCAATGAGGACAAATTCCAACACTCCGTTGTGGAAAACTGGAGGTGATAATGACTAGAACAGAGTATACTACTGACTCGGTATACATTAGAGCGGGAAAAAAAATGTAAGGGCATGGGAGTATAGTAGTAATGTCTGAGGATCTCACTTTCAAGGATCACACAGTGCCACGATCGCCACGTGCAAAGATGATGATAGGCATGGATAATGAGAACTTTCAAAAGAGAGATGCAAGGCCCAATGATGATCCTTTTCAAATCACATTGTTTTTCTGCTCTTGGCTGGATATACTGCTGTACATTAACATCTCCTACAAAGACGGTGATGATATCGCAGATCTAATGCAGTGTTGTACAGAGATCCTTTTTACTGCAGTATAAGTTCTGTCAAGCACTCTTAATACTGGGAACGCATGGAATTTACTCACATATCACATAACACTCCCCCCTTTCCCGCCCCACCACCCCCCCCCCTCTTTACCCCCCCCCCCCCCCCCACCCCCCCCTCCCCCCCCCCCCCCCCCCCCAGCCCCCTACCCCCCCCCCCCGCCTCGAGATAAATCATAATCTACACTTGGAAAATATTGGAATGGAATGGTCCAAATCTGCACACTAGAAATCACTCCACGAAAGTAAAGACTGGGCAGGCGATCTGCTTAATGCCGCAATAAAAAGTAAGGGGTGGCGACATTGGTACACTAAGAGAAAACACCATAAGTGTCCGGGGCAGAACGTTCAACTGCCTCCCATCAAATACGAATTACGGGGGAATTCCAATAAACCCCTGGCTGCCTTCAGAGAGAGCTGGTACAGATAACCTAAAGTCAGCTGCCGGTTCAGCCGGGCGGTGGCTCGTACGTCGGACTGCGTGCGCGCAAGCCAAGTATCAGCCTAGTTGATCAGGCCCTGATCCACGGGAGGCCTGGTCGTGGACCGGGCCGCGTGGGCGTTGATCCCGGAATAACCTCCAGGGTAACCGCCAGGGTTGTGTGCGGCAGCACACCCTCACGGCCAAAAAAGCGATGAGGGCAATGTGGAAAATTGGTGTTTTTATTGTTTTATGTGAGGGCATCATCCATCATCCATGTAGTGGACTGTGAATCACCATTCCCAGGTCCACTACAGTACATGGAGCCACGCTGAACAAACAATTTATATAGCTGAAAAGATTAATCCGTGTTGTACGTTAGGAATAACGTAATTTCCACGCCAGTATCATAATGATATATTTCTTCGCTCCATAATATGACGGGGGGCGGATACCGATGGCCCCAGCCGCTTCTTATCTAGATCGAGGGGTCTGCAACGCCACTATCATTATCTGTATTATTATTAAAAAAAAATGACAGCTGTGTATGAAGCTAAAATGCTCTGAGTTGCTGGTATTGATATATACCAGCATTTATACACTTGAGTAACATACACTGAGAGGTGTTTGTTTCTCCGTGTATATACAGTGATTGGTATGTCAATGTATATACGTTAATTGCTATGATCTTCAGGTATGCACCACTTGGAATATATGTATCTCTCAGTTATTTTTCACTGAGATTGTACTTTAAATTCCTATATTTAGGTATTTAAAGTATTCTTAAACTAGTGAAAACGGGTGACGTTCAGCCTTAATGATCCCGTGTGTAGTAGGATTGGCTTTAAACACAGCTAACCACCGACCCTTCGCTCATCTGACTTCACCCATTCAGCAGATCTTTCAGATTTTCGAGAGATTTATGGTGGTAAGCAGGAAGACGTCGAAGTCGAAGGTATAAATACTGCGTGGTGGTTTTGCTGTCAGACACTTTGCAGGTTGGGAACGTACCCCGATAAGTCAGGTAAGTGTGTTAATCTTATATCTGTTATATTCGTCCCATAATTAAACTTTCTAATTTATTTTTTTGTATAATACATGTGGATAGTTTTATTAATATTACTGAATTGTTTTTTTTTTATGGAGTATACTTATGGTAAAGGGGAATTAATTATATTTTTACTTACAGAATGTGTTCGTGGTTAATGTTATTGGGAACTTTGTTCGTGGCTGCCACAAGTGCAGTGCCACTACGTAAGTGCAATATTTGTCTAGAAATATCATTTCTTACTTTCAATACATGTTTGAAGTACATTTGCCAAAATGTTGGTTGAAACTGAGAACAACCCCCTTGTTCCGAACTTGTTTCAGGGTTCAAGTACTGTTACTATCAAAGTTTATGCCGGATTAGCTTATAAACAATTTAACTATTACTCCTAAGTTCCTAAATTTAATCTAGGAAGCCTTCAAGCCACAGAAGCTTATTTATATTAATGGGAGTAGAATTGGTCAATATTGTGGAAAACTTAAGTTTCTTAAAGCTTATACTTAGTCACAACTAATTGCACTTTTTCTTTTTCCAAACTTTAATTCCTACTAAACCTTAGCCTTAAACCTGTTAATAAAATACTGTCCCCACTATACGCAAGAAGTGGGTGGACTACAAGCGCCACTACAACACTTGACTGTTGCTTCAAGGAACTACAATAACCACGGGAAGGTGTTAGCAACTTCGCGAGAATTGTTCTTCAGTTAGTGTGTGAATAAACGGGGAGTATCGCCCCGTCCGCACCCATGGGACCCAGGCTGATCTCACTGTAAGTATCTAGCTCACAGACTGCTTTTACAAAAAACTCGTCCGACTTGCTGGAGCTCAGTTGTTTAGTAAGATTACTGAATCTTAAAAATGCTTCAAAGAATGTTTCTATTTCTCTAAGTTTTCTCAAATAACTTTACCTTTATTCGAAATTTTGGTTCTTTGGAGAGAAATTAAATTCCATATTTCTATTGTCTTTAAATCTCTACTACTCTCGTTAAGGTTTGTGAGGTAAAGAAAAGCCTTTTGTCTTTTTCAACCTGGTAACTTTTGTTGTTCGTTAACCCACATGTTTCTTAAATTCACTAGATTACTAAAGTAAACACTTCTTTTAATTACTGTAATTTCACTTAACTTAGGCTTGTGAGTTAAAACATTCGTTGTACTCTGCTGAGGAAGAGAAACTGTTGGTCACTGCCTGGTAATGACCTGTACACGAGGTTCCTGGACACTCAGTAGTACCATCGATAACTGCTGCAGGCACTGCTATATCCACGATGACCCTCACATCTATACATTCGACGACCATCGCTACGACTGGCATGGCAACTGCAACTACTCCGTCGCTCAAGTAGAAAATAGTTACGACCCTCCAGCTGGTGTCTTCAGCGACTTCGAAGCTTGCTACGGTCTAGCGTCCTGCCTCGGCTTTACAACCTTCAAAGACAATCCCCATACTCTAATATCTCTAGACACCTCTGTCTTTAACGTGAGTAACTTGCTAAAATTTTTAGCCTTGCTACTAGGTCATTAGTGAATAGTCGTCAAATATAACTTTTTTTCATGGTAAGGGGACCACCCATTTAAACTTTAAATTCCTCATTTTTTTATCCTTCACAACTTCCCTTCTATAAAGGGATGAGATGACTAACTACTCGGCAACGTTACATTAAGTTTTATGATTCTAGATTAAAGTGAATGGTGACCCTTACGTAGTGCCACTCGCTGGTATACACGCAGTGACTTCCTCAGGAGGAACACATCCCGTCCTGGTCTGGCGTAGCAACCAGTGTATCCTACTCCTCGGCTCTTCAAACATAATGGTAAATTACTTTTCTAGAAACTAAAAAATGACTTTACTTGATAAAAGCCTGACTTCAGGAGTAAAAATTTCTTGAATAACCTGTGAGGCAACTACTTCGCTCTTCACTAATTTATAGCAAATATCTTGACATGCCTGATTCTCTACCTACTGCACTACTTGCAACGGCAGATTCAACACTGCCGCCACCGTCTGGACGTGTGGGCTCACCCGAGCAAGGCGGAACACTTGGACGGCCTCTGTGGCCACTTCAATTTCTACAAAGACGACGACTTCATGGACAGAAGTGGTCAGGTGCACACGCTAGAGTACTGGCCTTACGACTTTCCTGCCTCTTGGCTGGTGAGAACTAAACCTGAACTCTGTATTTTGGTTATTCCAATAAACTAAAGCAAAGTTCTTAATATAAATTTAACCTGTTTACTATGGCATTAGTAAGATTAACTCTTATTCCCTAGATTGCACATCATTAATTCTCTAAAGAATTCCCAACTCTTAAGAGTAAGACCCCTTTAACTTTAGTCTTTTGACTCTTCAGACAAGTGAGCAAAGTGAAGTATACTGTGAATCTGGCACTACAGCCCATTGTTCCAGCTGTCCTCCACTCTCGCCTGTAAGTATCCTAAGTTACTAGACTAGAATACTTTGGTTTAAAAACTCCATGTGCTAACTGAACTAAATTCTTTCAGTTCAAAGATTTGTGCCAGGCCAGCGAGGAGCAGAAAGCTACGTACAAAAGTGAATGTGAAAAATTCCTTTGGTCTCTGATTGCTAGAGACGAGTCTCTCTCGGACCATCTGGGTAAGTTAATGCTGCAATACTAAATTTAAAGATTCACTGTAGTGAAACCTCCTTGACTAACAAACTACCAGAACGTCTTCATCTATGTAGCAAGGACAAGAAATGCTTAAATAGTTCACATCAAGTTTTAAATACTTCAGACAGTGGTATTACCAACAATTACACAAATACCTTTACTTTGCCCACTCCTTACTACCACAAACTTTCCATTGTGTGGACATAAATGTTACCATACAAACGCAGGTTAAATAAACTAGCTTGTTAAACTATCAACGTAGCTGCCCAATCCTTTACTAGTGTCCCTCGGTAATATTTACTTCGCACCGGATGAATAGTTCATAAAAATTAAACTAAAATTGTGCCTAATTTTCTTCTCGCAGATACTTGCTCATTTGACCTGTGCATGATGTACCAGGACGGTCGCACACGTACTGAAGTAGCCAATTGGCTGGCAGAACTGAGCAAAATATTGGCAATATCCCTGCAACTTAACTTAGGACTTGGTTAGTATATTTTCTTGCCTCGTTGATAACTCTCTGAAACTACTTAAATGTTAATACCTTTTTTTTTTTTTTCTCAGTTATGACAAACGATACCAGTCTTCCTCCGGTGACGGACACTGCTCCGGTGATGCCAGTAGCTACTCGGGGTAGGAGTTTCCAAACTGAACTAGGCACGGACAAAGTAATGCTTAAAAATAAGCACACCACTAACTGTAAGTTTCTTAGCTTTTTTACACCTATCTCTAGCTTCACTTTTTTTTGCCAGTTTCTAAATTCATTACTCATTCTAATCACTTCTAAATTTTCAGTAAACTGCGCGTGTGTAGAGGCACTAAAACCTGAAGTTTCTTCCTTGGTGGTACATACCAGACTCTTCCTGGATGCCGTAAAGACGCTGCAGACAACATTGACTAACTACGAACCAAGTAATTCCCTAGACTCCCCGGGTCGCTGATCAGCCTAAAGTCTCTGAAGAATATCTCTAATAAAGTGAAGAAAAGTATAGGGATGATGGTTGGTGCTTGGGACCAGTTGAAAGAGCAAGTCGGCGAGGGAGAGAGTCTTGACTGTCCTACTAGTGCTGCTAAGGCCACGGTCATTATGATGGATTCCTCTACAAAGGAAGTCCTCTGGCTCGCCAACGCCACTAAGGAGGCGTTTGCTTTTGATTACAATATTGCTGAAGTTGAGGCTACTGCAAGGGAAGCTGTTGGAGCGTCTCTAGCTTTGCAACAAGAGATTAAAGATCTACCTTGTTGATCAAATAATTTAACTTTTACTTTATGGTACTGCAAAATGAGGTTTATTACTATGGAAACTTTTAATTAAAACTAATTGTATGTAGTCTACCCTTAATTTGTCCTCTACAGATTGACAAACCACATTTCGAAGGTATTTTGGAAAGCCTTAGAAAATTCCCCGGCCCCCTTGTCTTTATTCTAATTCCTCTAAGAAAAAATGATTCAGACTGCTAAACCATAGCCCCCCTTTAGCGATTAAAGCTTGCACAAAACATACCAGCGATTTTCAACCTAAACGGATTAACTCTTTTTTTTTTTCTCCTTCCCGGGGTTTACTAAAAGGATTGTGTAGTTATAATTTAAAATTTACCTCATTGTGTGAACCGTACAGCTCAGAGGAACTAACTTCATGGAGCTAGAGTATTCTTGTATTTAGTATCTGCAGAAAGTTTGGCCAATGAAAACGCTTTCGCAACACCATTGATATCTACACAACAGATGCTTATCCAGCTTAACTTGTCTTAAAGTTTAAACTTTTACTTATTAATATCCAGCTTGAATAAAACTGCAAAACCGCTTTGAGATTTACCTACTTACGAAAGGCAAGAGTGTTTAAATACTTTAGCAAACCACTGATAGTCTTGCAGTGTCATCCTGTAAAGGATAACACTAGCCTGTAAAGGATAACACTAGCCTGCATATTCTTAACGTTGCATTAAAAGATGGGTAGCTATAGGGTCTTTAACTACTGAAGTAGGTTAGTATATGCTGGGCAGGTGGGGCAACCTGTCTGGTCCAGGGTAATGATGCTGCTCATTTCTAGACTCCTTACCATAGGAATAGGACTCTAATGGCCTTTTTGCTATTTTTAGTATGCAAAACTTCATTTGAACGTAGTTGTACCAGTAAACGTACGGACTTCAGTGGGACGTCTTTCTACTTATCACGGATAATTCTTTAGTTTTCCGCAAAAGCAATTACTATACCTGTTATCTGTAGTGTATCTAAATTTATCCTAACTGTATGGAAATTTGTAGGGTCCTAGCTTTGTATTACCATTAAAATCGAAACCATCTTAAATTTGAAAAGTCTCCTTTAAACAACTGAGTTACCCAACAAAGTTTTCTATGGAGGTACAGTCGTTAACAGTGGTAACTAAAGAATTCTCTCCTGGGTAGGTTCCTAGCTCCTGGCCCCTCTCCTTGATACCTGGACTCCCTTGGCTCAGTCCCTCAATGTCTACCATCCTCCCAGGTGTTAGGGTTTAGCGCTTCCACTTCAGTATCGTTATCTTGTAAAAATTAGTTAAATTGCTTAACTGCAAGTGTTCGTTGGGGTTCCTAGCTCGCGTCCCCAGGATGCTACCTGTCTGCCAGTCCTGGTACCTGCTTACCGGTGGCACCAGTACCTGGTGCCTGCTGGGTAAACTCCGCCCCCTCCCCTCGGGTACCTATTTACTGCTAGGTGAGGGGCAGCAGGTTACTTAAACTTTTTTCCCCACCGCCCTGGGATCGAACCTGGGTGCTTCCTTTGGTAACAGTGATACCATTTAAACCGCAAGGAACTAGCCACGCGCCTCTTCCTAGGATCAAACCTGATTACCTCCCAGTCGCTGTGCAGTCCGTACGGGTTTAAAGAATATCTTCCATAGTGTACTGTGGCTGCAGGGGTCCATTCTCGGCTCCTGGCCCCAGGGTACTGAACCTCGAGGGTTTAGCTCTTGATACTGGGCCAAGGGGAAAGTTAACTCTTGGTCCAGCTTAATTCACGACCTATAAGTGAAATAAGATCATACATTTAGAGATTGTAGTAATTGTCGTACATATTTGTGAAGCTGTGCGAAGTCTACTTGGAGAGTAGTCATGACTGCTCAATCAACTTGATTAACCGTAAAATTAATTCCTGACGTCCCAGTGGGTCAGTCCAGCTGTCGACTTGTTACCTGTAGTGGCCTCCAGGGGTCAGCGCCCCCGCAGCCAGGTCCCAGGCCTGGTTGCTGGCCTGATCGATCAGGCAGTTAGTGCCTGCAGTCCAGTGCATGCACCGCATCCCGGCTGATCAGGGACTGACTTGTGGAGTTTGTTTACTTTCCTCTTGAAGACGACAGTCTCTTGGTAAGTCCTGTATGAAGGGAAGGTAGTCGTGGTTCCTTTACACTTACTGTTCTGTGTAGTCATCGCAAAAAGTGTCAGGGGCCCAAGACTGTTCAACTGCCTCGGTGTACACATGGAGGATTACCAATAAACTCCTGGCTGTCTTCAAGGAGGTTTCTTGACAGGCACCTGAAGTCAGTACTTGACCAGCCGGACTGTGGTTCGTACGTAGGTTGACATGCGGCCAGCAGTAAACCGGGCAGAGGGGACGTTGACCCCCGAAACCCCCCTCCAGATGTACTCAAAGTAAACCCCCCCCTCCATGTTTACCTGGAGTTTACCTGCGTTCGAGGGAATGCATATCAGACCTTCAACCGCTCTCTAGTTAAGTGCCTTATCGCACTTGTGCCGTGGAAGTTCTTTGTACACTCCAGGTCTGCAATGTCTCCTTGAAGGGGGCCGTTAGTGTACAGTATTCCAACCTAGAGAGCACAAGCGATTTGAAGAGAATCGTCATGGGCTTGGCGTCCCTATTTTTGAAGGTTCTCATTATCCATCCTATCATTTTCCTAGCAGATGAGGTAGATGCATTGTTGTGGTCTTTGAAGGTGAGATCCTCTGGCATTATCACTCCCAGGTCATTCACATTACTTTTCTGCTCTATTGTATGGTTAGAATTTGTGGTATACCCTGACATTTTTAATTTCAAGTTTTCCATATCAGTAGTTGAAATTTCTCCTCGTTGAACTTCATATTGTTTTGAGTGACCCATTAGAAGATTTGGATGTCCTCTTGGAGTCTCACGGTGTCCTCGATGGAGGTCACTGCCATGGTGATCAGTCTCTATCTGCAAAGGAAGACATGAGCTATGGCTTACATCTGTCAGAAACGAGGATGGGGAATAGAATGGGAGAGTACTGTGCCTTATGGAACAGGGCTTTTTTTACCGTAGCTGCCTCAGACTTGACTTTATTACTTTGTTCTATTTGTCAGGAAGTTGTAGATCCATGTACCAACTTTAACAGTTATTCCTTTATCCCGCATTTTGTGCTGTTACACCAGTCACACTAGTCGAAAGTTTTTGCAAAGTGTGTATACTACATCTGTGTTTCGCTTATCTTCTATACTCCCTCCAGGTATATCTGATGTCTTCCTGGAGGTATCCCGCAGCGCCTGCCAAGCTTCTCGTGTTTATAAGTAGTAATTTCAATGCGCAAGTTTGATAATTCCTCCAGTCTGCCCTGCCCCTCCTAAGGCAGGTTCCTTGATGTTGGTGAGGGGCTCTTGATCTGTTGGAAAAGGGTCTGTGCTCCAGTTCCCTGAATTGACTTTGAATGCCTTCCATTCCCCCCCCCCTCACATACCACAAGCGTTGTATAATCCTACTGGTTTAGCGCTCCAAAATGATCTGGTAATAGTGTTCAGTCATGTTCTCTTGTTCAATGTTCTTATTCTTACATCCCTGGTAAACTGTATATCCTCTAAATCCCGGAGTATTTTATGTCGTGATCATATCTCCTTGTTCTTCACTTTCAGTGACATGATTCAGCCTATCCATCTAGTGTATGTGTACTCGCCTATTTGTGGTTGCGGGGGTCGATTCACCGCTCCTGGTCCCGCCTCTTCACTGGTCACTACTAGGTCCACTCTCTCCCTGCTCCATGAGCTTTATCATACTTCTTCCGAAAACTATGTATGGATCCTGCCTCCACTACATCTCTCCACATTGTTCCACTTCCTGACAACTCTGAAGAAATACTTCTTAACATCCCTGTGACTCATCTGAGTTTTCAAGTGTGTGTGTGTGTGTGTGTGTGTGTGTGTGTGTGTGGCGGTACTACAAAGTGTTTTGGGAGGGGTGTGTAGGGGAGGGGAGGGAGGGTAGGAGGGGCTCCTGTTACTACCCTTCAAAACTCTGGGCGGCAACATGCCCGCCCTGGCTGCCCCCTGCCACCCGCTGCCATCCCTAAACATCGTGCCCTGAGGCCTTGCGGATTTCTCCAGACCTGATTTCCCTCCCGCTTTTAAGACCTCCCACTTAACTCACTCCTCCCGCGAGGTCCTCCAGAGGGGCGACTTCACGGGGTGGGCGGAAGATCGGCGTTGTCGCTTGCGCTACGCTCGCGAGTAATCCAAATCCGGGAGATGAAGCCGAAAGCCGGTGTCGGCGTCGGATGCCGGCGGGGCGGTAAAACCAGAAGCTCGACTCAATTGTACATGTTGTCATTTGAGAGGTGCCGCCCCGCTTAACTCAGGGTCTGCCACCTGCCACCGCTCCTCCTGTCCTTATTTCGCCCTCATCTTCCCGGTCTCCAAGACGAAATCTGTACCGGTGGTGAAGCGAACCCGGTCGCCAGTGTTGGTCTGGACGGAAGAGTGAGACCGAAGGACTGGAGGTAGTGGGAAATGAACTGGTCTCCTGTGGCCTAGTGGTGGCCTCCTAGTGGCCTCTCACAAGAGCAAGTGAGCGTGGGAGGCGACAGGCCTTGATTACTGTTGTTTTGCTACTTACCTCTCATTTGTTCTTACATGTTCCTTCATACCACCAGTACCAATCCCAGTGCCAATCCCAGTCCCAGTACCAGTCCCTGTACCAGCACCAGTACCAATACCAGCACCAGTCCCAGCATCTTTACCAATCCCAGTACCAGCACCAGTACCAGCATCTGTCCCAGCACCAGTACCAATCCCTCTACCAGCACCAGTACCAGCAGCCACCGTTATTAATGCCGCCACCATCAGCACTACCACTACTACCAGTATCACCAGTAACATCACTATCACCAGAACCAATACCACCACCACTACTAGTACCACTACCACCAGTACAACTACTACCAGTACCACTACTACCACAAGTACAACAACCACCATTACCGTTACCACCAGTACCATCACCAGTACCACCACCAACAGTACCACCACAACCACTACCAGTACCACCACAACCCTACCACCACTACTACCACCAGTACCACCACTACCACCACCACTACCAGTACTGTCACCA